ACCCAAATCGTTGCATTCTTTTTATTGTAAGATTTTCATTATTTTGAGAAAAAAAACTAGAATCATTACATTACTTCCATTACTTTTTTTGCATCATTTTCGTTCCATGATTTTGATTATTTCACAAAATATAAACTAGTTTTCATAAGTTTTTCAGAATGATTGAAGAAGAGAAAAATATACAGAACTTAAACTGAACACTGCTTACACATTCAATTACACCATCTAGAAAATGAGAAGATGATGATATAGACTAATAAAGATGTTCAGTCTTTTCTATTTATATCCTACCTGAACCTTGTTATCTCCAATTGAGAAAAGTAATCGATGCAACTACCAGAAATTGATCCAGTGGAAAATATTGTAGTACACATTTCGATTTAGAAATAATTTTCAAATATCAAATGGTTCAAATAATTAATATGTTCGTTCTTGTTTCGCTCAGTCAGGAATATTATGTGCATCATCAACAGATTTAGTATGAACGAGAACCCTTATATATCTTTTTTAATGATAGATGAATACATCTAATATCTGTTTCTGTCAGAATATAATCACATAATGAATAAAAAGTAGTTATATTTACGTCTAAAAATGTTAACTTTCTCGATACTTGACTAGTCAAGAAGTGCATTAATGTCAATAAATTAGATAAAGTTAAAAACATACCTTAATAAGGGACTTTGATAGGATTCATTAGGAAACGAATAATTTCTGTGATTAAACGGAGATATGTGTCGATGTTATTTCATGATTTTGAACTATTCGCTGAATTGTGATAGATAATCATGAATAGGAATTTTGAAAATTCTTATTTATTTAATTTCACAATAAAAACCGGTTGAAAAAAAGTTTTGTAGTTCACTTCATGTTGTACTACCTAAATTGTTTTTTTTTTGTCCGTCAATAGCCGATTCAAATCTGTCGTCGCTTATAACTTTGTGACAAGACAAGGTTTGCCTGTTCCTTCATCAATATCTCCATAATCGAACGTTGTGAAGAAAGAACTTAGTTTACGAATGGCAATTAAATCCAGGTCTGTAGGATAGCATTGTACTTTGAAATGAACTTTTTTGAGAAACTTGAGTGATTCGAGGAGAACGGCTAATATTTCGAAATCACAATCGACGAATTCCATTTGCAGATGTGTAAGCTTTGGGATCGTGTAGTGAAAAAGATTTGTCAGTTCGTTGAGAGAAAAGTCGTAGGCCAGTTTGGAAATTTTCAAACGGCGAACATGGTTTTCCACACTAAATGACGAAGCTACAAGTAAAGAACTAGAAGAGAAGTGTGTTACGTCGATTGAAAAAAGTTCAGGAAGACGTTCAACAAAATAGACAATAATATCACATGTTGCCCAAGGCAAGTGGATATGTCTAATAGTTTGATTTGTCAAACCATTAACTGTGATTATCATTAAATCACACCACACATTGGCAACCCAGCGAAGCATAGCAAATCGTTCTCCTTGTTTTCCAAATAGCATTGGTTCTGTATAGTTCGATGACATAAACTGATAGGGAAGTGAGAGGCGAGTCAAGTTCGGGTGATTGCTCGGCTTTATTTGATCTATTTGTTCTTGACAAGATTTAGCCAGATGGAGTGTATGAATATTTTTGAATTGAGACAAATCCATTACAAAAGTAGGTGCTAGACGATCATCTCTCAAGTAAACTATTTGTGAGGCAAAATATTGTATGCATCCATTCATATAATCAAAAAAATCTTCGTCATTTGTTATGTGAATGCTGATGGGAAGAGAACGAATGATCGTCGTGATACGGTGGCAATTCAGTTTGGACCATACTTGGTAAAGATCAAGAGCCGAAACGTATGCGAATATTTTGAGAAATAACTCATCAGGCAAAAGTTCGATGTGCAATGGTCGTGTCTCAGTCATGTTTATGAATAAGCAAATGTTTGCCACTACAATTTATGATAGACAAAGAAACAACTCATTGCATCATGTACGTCATCAAGGTGATGTAAATAATAACAAGAAAAAATAAATTTCAGTTTAGTTCGCAGCGTATTATCTTATCTGTATCCTGTAATATAACATAAGATTAAAAAAAAACGTAAAGCATTCGAATTTATAGCATATACAAAGAAGAATCACATGTAGCTTATAATAACTGAGTTACATCAGAGAATAATTGTAAGATGAAAGTGTTCTTCAAGGTTGTGATCGATCGATCATCTCAAGATCATTTGATGAATAATCAAAGACGAAGAGGAGACAGTACAGAAGCAAAAGAATTGTCTAAGATGATTCACGCGTTGGTGCTGGTGGGTGCAGGCCCAGCGCAAAAGTGCCAAGATTGGGAGGATGTGAGGGATTCCGAGGCAGTCAAGATTGAGGGACACAAAACTATTTTTCGCATCAGATCTGATGTTAATCGGTCTCTGCTGATCTAACATATAAAAAGTTTTCGCGAAGCGACAACTGTTTGCAACTTTCTTAAAAAATTTGACATTTTATGGTAAATTTTCAAGAAGAGAACTTGAGTCCTATGTGAGAAGACTTCTCAATACTGGCGTCATAGAAAGCGACCACTGGCGAACATTGGTCTATATCAAGCTGTTTCAAAGGAAAGATTGACTACAGTAGGAAGTTTTTCTACGTTTAATGTCGTTACACAATTGTCATTTTTCGAAGTGACAACATTTTTCAGACACATAAAAACCTCTTTTTTTCCTTACGTTATTCGAAAGGAACAAGCGTTGCGATAACTCTGAGAGATTTCGCCACCGAAGGCAGCCACGCTAGTGAAGACTGTTTGAAAATCAAGCTCTTCAACAGGAAGACACGAATAAAATTGCATTAAAAATAGAAAAATAATAGATATTTTTTAGCCGAGTACGCTCGCGTGATCATGTTGGGTGTGGATGTGGATCTTCTCTTCACATGCACGCCCACATCCCACACCCATACCTTCTTTGGAATGTTCATATGGAATCGACATAGTTCGAAGAAATTTAATTTTTTGAAGACATTGATATTTATGAAACTAATATCACAAAAATATTGGTTATAAATTAAAATAAATAAAGTCAATTATTGATGTTGATATTTTTGCACTTTTTCATTTGTTTATTTGTTTCGGAGTAATATTTTGTAATTTAAAAATCCAAGCCCAATCACTTGCAAGAGAATAGGCTTCGATATTGGATACATCAATAATGATACCTCCACTTTCACTAGCTGAACGCCAATTCAATGGACCTACATTTGAACCAAGAAGTGTTACAGTTGTATTTGATGAACTAACTGGTGCACCAAGTAAGATTTCAGTTGTATTGTTCGGCCAAACAAGAAGAGATGCATAGACAGTTTGATTATCTTTTGACGATGTATACCTATTGTGAAAAGAAGGTATATGTTTCGTTGTCTGATTGATAAAAAAGTTTACCAAATATGTGGATTGGTTGTATCATTTTGATACTTCCACGGGATACTACTATAGATACCTTCACCATTGACTTTCAACCATGCACCCATTTGACGAAGACGTTCTTCATAGATCGGTGCAATTTTTCCATATGATGTTGGTCCAACATTGATTAATACATTACCTCCCGTACTGAAGACGACAAAAAAAAATAATGTATTTAACAATATTCAAATATACAAAGTGTAACAACCTGACAGTGATAATAACTTGACCAAGAATTTCTTGAATAGTGAGATAATCATCAACATTCGATGTGCGGAGGAAACCCCACGAATGTTTATCGATCTATAACATAAAGAAAGATGAAATTCAAATTACTTTGAAAATCATATGACATGCAGTAAAACAATTTTCCCATTTATGTGTCAGTAGATGTCCTGGATTGCAACGATCACCACAAGTATAATAACCGCCATGATGACATTCCATTCCAGTACCCCATCGATCATTGACAACCTTGAAAATAAGAAAGATTCTATTGTTTTCTGAATATTCATTTATTGAAACACAAAGATACACACAACTGTATCTTTCACTGGACTTTCATTGTAAAGCCAAGCAAGAAATCCTGTTGAATTCCAATATGTATCTGGTGCATCTATAAAATATATAAAATATATTCAAAATACGTATATCTGATGCGCTTTAATTCTACAAACCCCAATCACCATCAGAAAACACCACTGATGGTTTATACGTTTCAACGATTTCTTTTAGTTCAGGTAATGTTTTCATCTATAGAAAAATTCGTATGTTTTTGTGCTTCTCAAAAGTTTACATCATACATCAGGAAATAATCGTGTCTTGAAACCATTCTGTTTATCTTCAAGGAACAATGGATGAAACCATTCAAACATTGAATGATATAAACCAAAAACAAGATTAGTTCGATTACGTATAGCATTAGCGAGATCACCTGGCAATAAAACAAAGAAAATAGAATAGAAAACATAGAGAGTCATTCGAAATTTACCAAGTAAATCTCGTTT